ACTAACCGTATGTCTCTGAATTGCAGGCTTGTTTGACAGTAGCCACATACTGGCAGAGATGCAGTAACAGGCTGCCCAGTTTGTGAATAAACTCCAGGTGGAAGTAAAGTGAGCCAAAGATTCAGAGCTGCCTGGCATGTTTCCTACACCTTGTGAGCTTTCTTTAAGTCTTCTTGTCTGGACTCCCCTCCCAAATCCCTGGGATTTGGGATTCCTGGTTGACAACAAGTTAGCCATGAGGCAGCAATGTGCCCTCGTGGCCAATGGGACCCTGGCTGCATCAGGAGGAGCGTTGCCAGCAGGATGAGGGAGAGGATCCTGCCCCTCTGCTCAGCTCTGGGGAGGTCGCACTTGGAGTATTGGCTGCAGTTCTGGGCTCCCCAGTACAAGAGGGACGTGAGGCTTCTAGAGAGGGTCCAGCAAAGAGCCACGAAGATGATGACGGGGCTGGAGCATCTGTTGTATGAAGAGGACCAAGTGAGCTCGGCCTGTTTAGTCTGGAGAAGAGAAGGTTGAGGGGAGATTTGATCAACATGTTCAAGTACCTGGGGGGGGAACGTGGGGAGGATGGGGCCAGGCTCTTCTTGGTGGTGGCCAGTGACAGAGCAAGGAGTAATGTGTACAAGTTGAAACACAGGAAGTTCCATCTCCATGTGAGGAAGAACTTCTTTCCTGTGAGGGTGACAGAGCCCTGGAACAGGCTGCCCAGAGAGGCTGTGGAGTCTCCTCTGGAGATCTTCAATACCCACCTGGATGCCACCCTGTGCCACGTGCTCTGGGCGTCTCTGCTGGAGGAAGGGGGTTGGACTAGATGATCTCTAGAGGTCCCTTCCAATCTCAGCCCTTCTGTGATTCTGTGACTTTAAACCTCAGAAATTCAGAAGAATTTTCAGAAAATTTCTTTTTTATGTTACATTGGGAGAAATGGGAAGATGTCAGAAGGGGCCTGCTGATAAATTTGTCAGGCTGACAGGGAATTGGCAGGAGCTGTAACTGATGGTTTATTTGGAACAAGACTGGGCAAAGACACTTGACTTGCAACAAAAGTCTATCTTGGATAGATACAGAAGCCTCGTTTTCCTGGGAACAACTGATTTTGTTATTTACAATGTGAACTTTGAACATGTGAAGTGGAAGAGGAAATGTTAAAAGAAGCCTGCAAAGTAGTGTGCCTAGAGCTGGCAGCTTGAGCTGTATTGGTCAAACAAGTTTTAATAACTAAGAAACTAAGTAAAAATAACTATGTAACAATAACTAAGTAGGGGAGAGAGCCATATTCCTGACTATTGCTGTACCATGTCACACAGCCACAGAGGCACAAGTTGGCAGAGACTGTGAGTAGAGCTCCGCTTTTTGAGAGATGACTGCTCTCAAATCCTGCTCAGAGGGGACAAAGCTGTATTGGGAGAGGAATAAAAGCCAAAATGCATGCTGACCTGAGGAGCTGTTCCATTTTCTTGAAAAACAAGTGCGCTCACATCCTGCTAAAGTAATTGCTTTCTGACAGAGATCTACTTGCCATTGCTCTCCTGATCCTGGAGTGAGAGGTCTGTTTGAAGAGGCTATTAGCAGAGCAATAGGCAAGGACTCCCATGATAACTCATTTGGGTACTGCTGATATCACTGCTGTGACTATCTCTTGTGGCTTTTTTCTGAGCTGCTTGGAGTAATGGGAAGGCTGAGGAATCAAGAACAACTAGCTTGGTAACAAGAGCACCTCTGAGTCAAGATTATGTGACCTGTTAAGACTACATCGTTGTTTGCTGCAAAGTCATTCTCTTCTGTTTGTTTTGTTAGGGCTCACTAACAAGAAAAAACTAGCAATATTAAATTCTAATTGAAATCTTAGGGATAAAACTGATTTTGGGGGCTCTCTTTGCAGCTTAAAAAGCTGCCTGATGCATGTGGCTGGAATCCCATTCATAGTTACTGTTGAATTGCAGGAGGGGGTGTTATAGCGGGCTGACTCTTTTCTTCTGCTTTTTGTAGGCAACTGTTACCGCCTAATATTGGAGACAATACTGGGCTCCAGTAAAGCCACTTTCTGACGTTCTTAACCTTTGATTGGAGGTTAAGATGTACCTGTGATACCTGTTGGGGGTATTAATCTTTCCTTCTCTCATTTCACCCCTTTGTTTGGGGCTTTCTCCACTTCCCAGAGTTACTGGTGAAGGCAGAGCAGATAGTGCTCTGGGGCCGTGTTTGACACATCTACCCGCGCGCTCATGGCGTGAGGGGGGCTCCTGTGATGGGAATGGAGCAGGCAGCACATGGCTCGGGCAGTCCTGCCTTCTGGTTTGGAGGCAACAATATTTCAAAGGAGATTGCGCCTCAAAACTCAATCCCAAGGCTTACCAACTCCCACAAGGTAACTTTATTTGCTGTAGAGTGCTCCT